AGTGGTAACCAAAGGAGGGCCAGGAAAGAGAAATCCTTCATTTGCAGTTCCAACAAGGCCCACTTTTTAGGTGTTCCCCTGTGCAATGGGCAAGACTTGGGGACTCCAATCCTCTCCCCAGGCATCTCTATTCAAACAAGACCCTTTGAAAACTAGGACAACACACAGCTATTTATTCCAGCCATTTTAAAAAGGCCACCTCTGACTTCTCAAGACTCAGATGTTCCTTATACTTGTCAGAAAACAAAGGCAACTTAAGCCAACATCTGGAATGGGAGAAATACAGCAACCACAGAAAAAGATAATTAAGTCAATAAGGAATGCTTTTCAGACATAACATCACAAAGGCCAAAAGAGTGTTTTCAGAACCATCCAGAACAAAGTTACAGAAGTTACTTAGAAGCTAAATTTAAGTGGATTAATTTCTGGAGGGCAAAATTTAAGAGTAGACCACCACAACCATGTGGACCATGCCAAGATGGCTTCCCAATTCTCTCCTTAGTAAGGCTGAGGAACATGTAGAATGTGTACACAGGTGTGAGACATTTACAAGAAGACTCAAGCGTTTCACTCAGCACTCATTCGGGAACTGTGGCTGAGGTCCTCAGGGTTTTGAAACAAGACATCCCAAACAGACGCTTTGACAGTCATCCTCCTGTCCAACCTCGGGTGCATCAGAGAGATTCTTTGGGAAATATGTCCAACATCTAATCAGTTTTCCTCAAATACTTTCGTTGCTGGGCAGCCTGCTATGAGGAAATCTATTCATGTCTTTGATGGAGAACACTGCCTTTCACAAAACTGTTCTTTGTCTTCAGAGCCGAAATCTCTCCTACATTCCCACTGGGAATGAAAATGACTTTTCCACTGGGGTGGAAAATGACAAATTGTGTGCCTTCTGCCATATGGCAGCCTGAGTATGCAGAGACCATTACCATGCTGCTGCTACCCAGTATTCCCTAGCCTGTTTCCAGATGTCTAGCTTCCTCCACATTGTGCTCACTTCCCCAAATAAATATTAGCCTACCATTGACCCTCCTAAAATGGGGGTCCCAGAGCAGAATAATAAACAGAACAATGTGGGCGTGGACTGATCCTCAGAGTTCAGGGAGACCATGGCAAAGCTCTGCTCTGACAGCAGCAGTGTGTCATAATGTACCCTGTTCTTAAAGAAAACACCATTCCTAAGACTTTCCCACACAAAATGACATGGAAGCAGACACCCTACATTCTAATCAGATATAATTTTAATTTTTAAGACCAGAACATGGTACATATCTCTAGTCTTAAGCCACCAATACAGTTTTCTAAGGCTATTTAGAATATATATTTAAAAAACTACTTAAATGTGTGGAAGTTAGAGGACAGCTCATACAAGTCATTTTCTCCTTTTATCATGAGGGAGGATCAAAAGCAGGTCAGCTGTTAAGCTTGGTGTCAAGGGCCTTTACCTCTTGAGTCAATTTGCCAGTCTCTCTTCAACAAAGGGCTGTATCAGACATACATAAGAAAATATAGGGACTAACATGACATTCAACCACCTGTCTAGAAAGAAAACACACATCATAAATAAAATTCAAGTTTTGAGTTCATGGTTTTCCAGTTGCCTCCACTCCCCAAGCTGCAGAGAGGTAATGGGTGGGGCCTGAGCTTGCATTTGTCACCCTGACTCCTGAAGACCTTGCGCTTTCAATCATTTCTCTGTGTCATACATACTTTATAAGTTGCAATTGAGTCTGTTTGCATTTAAGTGAGTCAAACACTGACTAAAGTTACACTTCCACCAGCCAAATAACGCCATCAAGCCATGAGGTGACTCAGACATGACTTACTCTTAGGGAATCCTTACTAGTTCTCAGCAAATGAAGCACAGCGCAGTTATGAGTGATACACTAAATGAGCCAGTTGAAAAGAACTGATATCAATACAACTATGTGGTCATTTAAAATTGCTTTTCCACTGCTTTTGAAGAGTTTTTTGAAGGCCGTTGGCTCAATAGTTCCATGCCCCATGGTCCCCAAAATGCTGGCATGATTCAGAGATGACTTTTAAACCCAAGTGTGTCAGTTATTGAGTTCAAGGACATGCTCTCACTCACAGAACACAGAGCACTCTTCCTAGAACCCCGCCTTCATCTGGATTCAGGGTTTTCTTTCCCATTTACTGGCAGATACTCACGAAAACAAGTGGGAAAAAAAAAAGCCTGCTGTTTCAGAGTCTAAATGTTCTCACCCCAAGAAATGACAAATGCCTGAGGACGCACTGACATGTGGGACACACTGCACACATGCACTGAAAAGACACACCGTTACCTGCCAATCAAATATGTGCTGTTATTATACACCACCAGAGATGAAAGACACAGTGTCTCTCTATGCAGTCCCGGCTCTCCTGGACCAGGCTAGCCTCAGACTCACAGAGATTCTCCTGTCTGCCTCCCAAATGAGAGAGTTAAGGTGTAAATGATGTGCACCACTGCCTGGAGCCTTAACATTATCCTTCTCTATTCTTTTCCTAGTATAGACTGTCAACCTCCTGGGCTCTCTAAAATTCCTTAACATATAAACCTAGGAGCATTATTTTGTAAGCAGGACATTTAACCCCATTACACTGAGGTTTTCCTACCTGGGTTTTCTATTCTTGCTGTATTAGTCTGGACGGCTTTCCCTTACATGCCTGGCTTCATTGTAACTGCATGAGTTAAAACAGAAAAACAGTGCGTTGCTGCTTCTTTTCTTTAGGCTTTTCTCCTGTGACAGTGATCCTGAAGCAGGGTACTCACTGCAAGGCAGACCTTCACAGGGCTTCTCTAAAGACCAGCCAGACAGGAGTTCATACTCCAAGAAACTCTCAAGCTCATGAGGCCAGAGAGGACAAAGGTAACATTCAGTCCGAGAAATTAACTTGATCAAAACTTGTTTGAATTCTGGAAACTGAACCTTTGTCTGCTGCAAGAACAAATGTTCTTAGCTGTTAAGCCATGTTTCCGGCCTCTCGGGGAGACTCTTCAATACACAGGGCTGAGGATGCAGCTCAGTGTTCGAGCTTGCCAAGCACAAGCAAGGCCCTGGGTTTGATACCCAACACTGTGAACAAACAACACAAACTAAACCAACCAAACTAACCCAGACAATGTTCTAAGTACCTGGTATACATCCTTGTACAGCTTGGGGCCTGGAATTCTACCTAGGTGCAATGAGGAAATGAGGAAAGGACAGACAGACACAGACACAGAATATATGGGATCAGGTGGTCTGACTCTCTAATGGAAAAGCTATAGTGCACTGGAAGCCAAGTGTGTTTATCATATATAGTTGAACAGAAAGGTGAGGGTGTTGGACATGGCTAGATGAAGAAGGAAGCTAAGAAGGGTTAATATATACAACTGAAAAAGGAGGCAGGATTAGCTAATCTTAGGAGGAGCACTCTTTTTTGTAGGGAAGCAGTCTTTAGGCCATGAACCTGGGCTCACAACGCGGGTGGTGGGGAGCAGCTGTGAACCTTTTCTGCAAGCACTATCACCAGCCCCACATGAGCGAGAGGAAGCCTTTGTCATCACTCTGAGTCTTCCCCAGGGAGATTTCACCATGGGTCTGAGGTACTAGCATCACTGACATGGTTATGCCTATGTCAACAACACACACTTACTAAGGACTTAACTGCTCTCTACAAGCTGGTTTTAGAGTAGTATTTAAGTCTTCTATATTACTGTACTCTTTGACTATCTCAGTACCTCAGATTATATATAAGTAGGTCCATTTGGAAGAGTATTTTCAAAGTAGTTTTTCAAACATTTTTTTTTTTTACCAGTTTAGTAAAAGCCTCTGCCGAGTGAATGTTCAATGACGATGGTCTACAGCATATCTTGGTTTCTAATCTAGCTGATTCTGTTTGTACCTTTCCTTTTATCAACTTTCTGAAACACTGCTGAACATGAACACACAAATGTTCATGAAAGAGAACACTTTTAAGGCTCCTGAAAGTAAAATTTACCACCCAAATTTCTAAAATGAATCACCAAATACTGGAGGAGGTAGATGGTAACTTTGTATCAGGAAACAAAAACCAGCCCCAGTGAGTCATCCCTGTGATCACAGATAGCACAGCCACAGCCTGGGCTTGGTGGCAAACAAATGGCCACAGCATCACATGTCAGAATCTTGCGTTCATGGTTTCTCACACGGAAATGCGTAAGTCAGCTACGTGAACCCAGGAAGCAGAACCCAGGATGCCACACAAATAATAAACACAGACAAGTTTTGTGTACTTATACTACTTCTCCAAGTCCATTTCAATCTTCAATAGATACGCTGTTAATAATATCACAGCTTCTAAAATGATTCATAAGAAAACACAAACACTATTTGAGGACCACATGTTAAGGTACATAGTCAAAAGCTAAACTAAAAAGTGATCAGAAGGTGACAGCCACCTCAAAAGAGGTAACCGAGCCTTTGGTGATATATTCCTGAGGTCAGTGTGCATCTACATGCATTCTGTGCTTTTGGATCTCTTTTAGGCAATCCAAGTTTGAAAGAGAAGGTTAAGTGGGACAATGGGCTAAGTGGCATTGCCACTGGATATCAGGTCCTGGTTGCTCTGACTTCTCTAGAGTAAAGAGCCAGGTGCCTTGATATTCTTTTAAACCACAGAGCAGGGAATGCATATTAGGATCGAGCCTGTCCAGCATACCTGTGTTGGCTGGCCCAATACTGTTCAATACAAACCATAGGCAGTGTTTTCAAAAGGAGTACTTCCTATCAACATCACACACCCACTAGGCAGTCTCCAAGGAAAACACTACCAACACAGCCACAAGCTCCCACACCCACAGGCTAAGCATCTTCCTCTGAAGCACTGCAGACCAGTCAGGAGCGACAGCAGAAAGCGTCACTGTCTTGCTTTTACACAATGGCTCCCTAAGACAATATACTGATTTTAATTCCCCAAATAAGAACAAGATAGAGCATTTCTCTCAAGTTCCTACAACATGACACTACCTGATAATGAACGGAACAAAAGGGGCCAAGCTGAGTGCAGACGACGTGCCATCCATTGGAGATGGGTAGAGTCTCTCCAACACCAGGAGTAAGAGGAACATGCCAGGGTGTCGATCAGGCTCTCCCAGTTCACTGAAAGGAAGTTATTACATATAAAATATTTCAGACTGATAAAGGCAAGCACTGCTTTCAAACAGTTTGTCACTTTTTCGTGCTTCACTTTGATGTGCACAAGGAGAAGTCTCTGGCAAAGCAAGGCTTCTGCACATAATCCTCTTCTGAAGCCAGTGACTCTTGAGTAGACTGTGCTGTCCAGAGCAGGAAAGTGAAGCTTTCCATGTCTGACAGGTTTGAGAAAGCATGAATAGGCCTTTACTCACTAGAACCAGAAAATCCTTCCTGCACAAACTAGCAATTAGAGAAAATATATCAGGACAAAAGTAAATTTCATTGATATAATTGCATTTTCACAGTTTATATGTATTAGATTGCTGAAAAATAAAAAAGGTACATGTTCTAAGATATCCATAGTAAACATCCTACTGGCAGCTACAGAGTAAGACTCAAACAAAATGATGGCATGTCTCACCACCGCAGGGAGACTCAGAGGCCTTCATAATGACTCTGTTTTATAGTCATTTCTGCTCAGGAACCAACATTTGATCACAGCAACTTAGCTGTTGTTTCACAGCAGTGAGCTACAACAGGCCAGTAATACAGAATATTAAGAACCCAGTAAGTAAATTTAGTATGTAAACAGAGATTTTAAAAAATAAGAGGAAGAAATAATTCAGGTATGTGTGTGTGTGTGAGTATATTTGTGTGGCTATGTGTGTGAGTGTGTCTGTGTGTGTATAGGCAAGAGGTCAACCTTGGATGTTAAACCTCAGAAATTGTGTGCTCTAGTCCTTTTAAATCTTAAATTAAAAATTATTTATTACTGTGCATGTGATGGGGAGGAGACTCTCGTGCCACGACACACACATAGAGGACAACTCGTGAGGTGTCACTCCCTGTCTACTGTCATGGGGGTTTGGGGCACATGGACAGGTCATCAGGCTCAAGCCACCTTGCCAACCCCGCTTTGTCTTTTTGAGATAGGATTTCTCACCCAATAAGTTAGGTTGGCTAGCTAGTAAGCCCTGCGATCCTTCTATGTCTGTATCTCCAGGGCTAGAATTACAAGTGGACATGGCATTACAACAAGCTTTTTATATGGGTATTAGTGACTGAACACAGGTATTCAAGTCTTCACTCAATGAAAACAGTAAATCTTCCACCCCACCTGGACCCCACCCTGAGACAGGGTTTCCTCTGTGTAACCATGGTTATTCTGGAACTCAATCTGTAGAACAGCCTGGCCTTGAATTCAGAGATATGCCTGCCTCTGCCTCCTTAGTGCTAGGATTAAAGGCATACAATTTTTATGTGCATTTCTCTGTGTGTGTATGTGTATGTGTGTGTGTGTGTGTGTGTGTGTGTGTGTGTGTGTGTGTGTATAACCATGAAGACCAGAAGAGAGTATCAGATTCCCAGGGACTGGAATGACATGGAGTTCTGGCTGCCTTGACATGGTACTAGGGACAGAACCCTGGGTTCTTTAAAAAAAAAAAAAAAAAAGCAGCAAGTACTCTTGAGTCACCAAGTAATGTCTGCAGGTGATCTGATGATGTCTCCTGGCCACTATGGGTACCCATAGTGTTCATACTAACATGCAGATACATACAAAAAAATACTTTAAAAAGTTGTTTATTACGATATATTAAGTATCCATAGTGATAGTTACATAGAAATTTCTGACCCTCCTTTATGCCCTCCTACTGAAGATTCCCTTATACTTCCAGAGCCTTTTAAAAAGTGACCCACAAGTTTCATTACAGTTGCTTAGAGAAGCATGGGTGAAAGGTTATTTCCAGGAGCATGGGTTCCTCACCAGTGGCTGTACCACTGCAGTAGATCTTCAGGAAGGGTGGAACCTCAGGAGACCCTTCACCTCGCTTGGTTTGGGTTTTTTTTTTT